TTGGGGGGGGGGGGGAAGGGGGGGGGGGGGCAGGGGCACAAGCAGCCTTGCCCTCATTTTGTTTTTCCTGGTATGCCGACACCCTGGCACCTTCCAAGGTAGGCATTGTGGTGTTTTTTGGCACTCCTGCCAAAAAATGTTGCCTACCCCTGTTCTAGGACCCAGTGGAAATACCAGTAGCATTTTCCTGTTAGCAGGGAAAGGAGGTTTATAGTTACAAGTCACTCACTTGAATGCAGCAAAGCACTCTGCAGGGTTGATGCAAGTACAAGGTGCAAGCATCGATTATTTCTAGTCCTCTCAGGTAATTCCCTACGGGGTTGAAGGGGGAGCAGGAACACAACCTTTATGGACACAGTCACAATGAGAAATGCACAGCAACAAACAGACAGCACTAAGGGGAACTCAAGCTTAATGTCATTCTGAGCATTCACCTCTAGATCTCAAAACAAGATGGGGCCAGCATTGGGTTTTAGAAGGGAGAAGAGTGACAGAATGAGCTCTGATTCAGAGTCCTGGACTGGAAGCATAAGTGGCATTAGAAAGGAAAAACAAAACTGAAGAAATGAGCGGGACATCAAGAGAAAAGAGGATGAAACAGAAGAGGTGGAACAGGAGGGAATGCTCAAAGCGGCAACTTGTTTTAAGGGCAAAACAGCAGAACAGACCACTCGGGTCATCAAGTCCAGCTTCCTAGGATCACAGGCCTTAGAAACATTCACAGAAATGTTTGCTTTGGCCTCTCCCACATGCCACAACCCTAAAGCACCCCCTAGCATTCTGTGGGAGACCACAGCCCAACTGTTGGGATTGCTACATCTGTGCCTCACTTTCTTTATCTGTAAAACAAAGAAAGGAGGCTTGATTCATGTCTACATGGATCTTGGATGGAGACAAGTTCTCAAGACATGAGGATGCCTAGAAGGACCCAACATTTGCCCCCTCTGTATTGTGGGTTCTGTATTAAGATCTTTAAGAAAGGAGAGAAACTGAAACTTTCCTTCCTCACTCTAGACCTTGTGAGCTCATTTGTACATCAGGAGCATGACCCCAAGCCCACTGGACTCAACTGCCAGTCTTTCCATTTGCTTTAACAGGCTTTGGATTCAGCCTTAGGTGCTTCTGTCCACACCTGCAGAAGCCTTTGCCTGGATTGCAGCCTGCAGAACCACAGCACCGTGTTCAGTGTTTACATAGCCACCATCAGCTGAGCACAGAGATCAGGGGACCGGGGACAATATCCAGTCACAGCATTCTGGCTAACAGGTGAACAAGGCAAGCCATCCCCACCTGAACATCCCTAATACAGGTTTTCTCTCTTCCCTATGCCAATAGCACTCCTAGGGGCACCGGGAACACATGGGCCAAATGGTTAAAGATCAACAAGCCGCACCAGGGGAAGCAACAAAGATTGGTCACTCCCCATAATGCCTAGTACAGTCGCACACACAATGCCTGTTGAGGTATTTACACACAAAAGCTCTGCCACTCCCCAGGCCTGAGAAAAGAGAGAGGCTCCAGTTGCATATCAAGGTGAGCATGGCTACAGTTTATCATACACCCAGTTCATTAACATGCCTCTGGGATGGAGTCAGGGAAGAAGGGTGGTTGGGGGGGGAGAAATAGCTTCAGTTACCTTTTCCACAGATTTCCTGCCTGACCTTGAGTCACTTTGTTTGTTTGTCTGTATCTCTTTGTCCCTCAGTTCTCCCACCTGGACAAACAGCTTCCATCTCCTCACCCTTTGTTTTGTCCAGGGGCTGGCAAGCTATGGCCCACAAAGTATCCAAACTTGACCTGCAGTGTCTACGGAGTAGGGGTGAAGAAGGGGAGGTGAAATGCAGCAGTGGGGGATTCAGAGAAGATACCCTCAAGGTCATTCTGCCTCCATGCATGCCATTTGTCCCAATGCATTCCTGTGCTGTGCTCCACTTCTCATCTACACAGCCTCTGCTGACAACCAAGTTCTACCCACTCTTCTCTCTCACTGTCAGATTTGCACCTCAGCATGACTGTTAGTTATGGGAATCTGTAGCACTTGATGGCAACAGTGGGGGCAACTCGGAAGAAAATAGGGAGTACTGGGGCAGCAGCAGAAGACAGGAAGGCTGTGGTAGTAGCCAGGTTGCAAGCTGCATCCTGCCATTTGTAAAGGCTGCCAACCTCTGGTCTTGTCAATTTACACTGCAAGCTCTCTGGGGCAGTCACAGTCTCTTACTACATGCATGTACAGTTGCCTTCTTTGATGTCTAGACACAGCTGCAATAAAAATAAAGAACACCACAAAAGCCATTGAAGGGATTCTGCTTTGTAACCGACCTTTACTGCCTTGAACCATAACAGCATAGGAAGAGATTTTACCCAGTCCACTAGCTCAACTTTTTATCTGGGCAGTTCCACAACTTTAAAAAATACCCCCACCCCAGATGTCTATGGGGCTAGCATGACACTCAGTGTCAGGTTGCAATAAACTGGAAGAGCAAAACAGAGTCCCATCAGAATATCACTGTTTGAGAACATATATCCATAAAGACACAAGAAGCAGTGGGACTCCTCTGAATCACAGAGCACATTCAACAGCAACAGGCTTAGAAAGGAGGACAGGAGAAGGTTAGAGAAGCAGCTGACTATACTGGTTGATATTTTCAGTAGTCATGACTCTGGGTGCCTAAGTTTTGGGGTTCTCAACTTGACACTTCTTAAAAAATCTTTATTTAAAAAGGGTACTCCAGCATTCAGACTCAAGCTTTAAGGAATCTCAGAGTGGGCACCCCAAAAGTAAGTCACCCATGGAAAGAGCCATTCCTGAAAATAGCAGCCACAGGAAGTAATCTGTCCTTTATTTCTGCTTCCTCTTTTTTCTTCTAGAACTCAAATGTCACATTTTGGTACTTACTGGAAAGGCATCTTGGGCTTCACACATCTTCGCTACCGAGGTCTGGAACTCCCCAATGAAGTCATGTCCCCCATCACTATCATAATCATAGCACATGACCTAGGGAAGAGGAAAGGAAGGGGGCATTTTTACACATCACGCATAGGCCACTACAGCTAGTGGTTAGAAAGGCCACATTAATATTTTGTTCAGCTTTCACTTAGCCAAGGGAAACCTTTCAGGTGCATCCCATTTTTTTGGCATTCTTTGCTTCCTTTGCTTCCTGAAGGTCAAACCACAACCAACTTTCCTTTATGCAATGAGGGTCAAGCAAAAGTCTTTGAAACAGATCAACATCACTCTATATAGTTACTTCAAAAGCAGGAGTCTCTAGAGGGATGTTCACTGCTCTCTCCTCTGGGCCTTCTCAATATTAATAAATCTCCTACCCTTGGAAGTAACAGAGAGCACTGGCAATGGCTTTAATCATCAGCATCCCATCTCACTCATAACACACTGAGGTGAGATGGTGGCTAACTCTCCACCAGCCACTTGTCTGCCTCATGTGCCTACTGTTGCTATCACCATTGGCAACAGCGGGGAAGTTGAAGACAGCTGCTAACACAATGGGGAGCACTGAGCTCAGGAGTGATAGACTTTTGATCTCCTGAGTGAAAGTGCTATGCTTAGGGAGATTTTTTCTTTTTAGTTAGTTTGTCTTAATATTTTTTCCATGAATCAATAGGAGAGGGTATTTGCTTTCAAATGCTGCTTACACTAATGGAAAAGGACATATTTGTAGTAGTCAGGGCCAGTAGCATTACTTAAAAGGAAGGTGCCAGGCCATCTTAAGACCCTGGGTTCAGTAGCAATAAACTTTGCCAGACTACCCAGCTGACTGAAAATTTTCACATCCAGCTGAGGCTGGACTTCTTGGGAAGTGTTTAACCACAACCATTATGCCATTTTGGTGAACAAGACATGGACAGAAGAGACTGCCTCTGAAAATGCTCCTGTCCATGCCTGGAATGGTACCCACAATTCCTGGGTCTCACCAGTCCTCTTCTGTTAGCAAATATCTGTGAAACCTACCAGCAGCATGCGTCATTCCTCTCTAGTGCTAATGCCCAGAGGACAACATCTTACTGCTGTTACTCCATTAGTTCAAACTGGAGAGGGAGTGGGGTGTCTGTGGAGTGGATCTAAAGGTTCTAACTTGACTGATGACCTATGCGGATGTCAGTATGATGCTATATAATGGAACTTCTCTGAGGTTCATTATATTTTCCAGATAAGATGTGTTCAGCAGCTGCAGACAGCTGCTTTGGCAGTTAGAACAAGAAGGGACTGGTTCCAACTAGCACAGGTTTGAGGCTTGAGAGCTGCATCTCAGTTGTCTTGGCTCTGTGTTGGTTTCAGCCTCTTCCCCTCAACACTCAGAATCTATTTTCCATGCTGCAACAAGAATTCAGAGCAACAAAAGGAAGGTTGAAGCAATGCCATTTTTAATGCAGTCACCTTTATCAGCTTCTCTATATCTCCATCACACAGTGACACTAAAGGCACAGTGAATGGCTTCCACACTGGATCCAATGTGTATTTAATCACCTGCAGAGAACAAAATGGTTACATTAGGAGGACATGAGCAGTAAGTCCCAAACAAAGTGAAAGCTGAAGCCTTGTTTCAAATAGATGCACAGGCCCAGAATCTGAGGTGGTCTAAGCTGGCATAGTTCTACTGAAAATTAGCAGAGCTTCATCAGTTTGTATCAGCTGAGGATCTGACCCATCAAGAACATGCAACTGTGGGACTTCAGACCAGAGAGCAGGCATAAGGACTTCAAATAAATCTCACTCATGTATAATCTTCATTGCCCCAGCCAGAGTAAGTACAATTGGCTTAGTTAGGTGGCTTTTTTATTTAGGTGGCTTAATCAGCTTGACATTTACTGAGTGAATCTGATTCTTTGGTACAAATCTGGTGCATCAAGCAAATGCAAACAGTTTCTAGGTACAGTTCATATGGTCACAGACACATGTTTATAGACAAAGGGGTGCCTGTTTATATGTAAAGAATTTGGGTAGCTGATTTATTTTAAAGGCGAATCCTGGAGTTCAAAGGTGAGCAGCACAAGACTGATGCAGGAGGGAAATTGGTTGCCTTTCAAGCTATTGCTCATCATCCGTTAGGCTCCGGGAGTGGCGAGAGATGCACAGGTGAAAGCCCGCTGCACTGCCGCTCCCCTGAAGCCCCCCAGAGACCCCCCAGCAGCCGCGGAGCACCCCGCTGACCCCCAGCACAGCTGGAGGTAAGCGGGGCCCATGGTGGGAGGGGGTTAACCCTTAGACAGTGGGAGAAGGCTGCTGAGGGGGAGCCGGGCCGGGTCTCACCCTGCCCAGGCCCCTACTTCGCCCAGCCCCCCAGGGAGCCATGCAACCGGAGCCGTGTGAACAGGCTGTGCAAACAGGTGCGCTTGTCTGCCGGCGTGTGAGTTAGCATGGAGTTTGTGCAGGAGGGCCCAAGGCCCTGCCTGTGAGCCCCCCAGGGTAGACAGTCCCAGCTGTAGCCAGCCTACCAGCAGCATGACATGGATGGGCACACACTGCACCCCGAGGATCCCTTTGGGCTCTGTGGCCCCCCCCTCTGGCACCTCAGAGACGGCCACCCAGACGGAGCCCATGCTCCCGGGCTCCACGCAGACGGAGCCCCTGACTCTCGGCTGTGTGGGCTGCCTGTCCCTTTTTCAGGCTCTGGGGCCAGAAGCATGGCTACCCCCTTTGTGAGGTCTGCTCCCTTTTGCGGTCTCTAGCACGCCAGCTGGAGGAGCTCCAAGCCACAGTCCAGAGACTGCATGCCATCAGGGACTGTGAGCAGAAGCTTGACTCCTACTGCCAGGCCCTTCTGCCCTGGGAGGCGGAGGGTAGACCACAGTCTCTCTCCAGGACAAGGGAGGACTCAGGGACCCCCCATTCTGTCCAGTCAGGGGCATGGACCAAGGTGGTCAAGGGCCCCAAGGCCCGCCGCACCAAGGCCCCTGCCTCGCCAGAGCTTAGCAACAGGTATGAACCTCTTGCAGCCCCAGCAGAGCCTGCTGAGTTGCAAGCTCCCACAGGCAACACAGGCCTGAATGCAGCTACCGCCCCCACTCTCCCCATGACAAAACGTAAAGTGTTTGTTGTGGGAGGCTCCATCCTGAGGGGGTAATCTGCCACCCCGACCCCTTAGCCCAGGAAGTCTGCTGCTTCCCGGGGGCCCGCATCTGAGACATTGCGGAGAAGATCCCTAAGCTCCTCCATCCCACAGACCACTATCCTATGCTCCTTATTCACGTGAGCACCACTGACACGGCTCGGAGCGCTTCCAGCCGGGTCATGAGGCACTACAGGGATTTGGGCGCGGGACTAAATGGTCTGGGGGCACAGGTGGTGTTCTCTTCAATCCTCCCAGTCTCAGGGTATGGGCTGAGGAGAGAGAGGAGGATCCAGGTAGTCAACCAAAGACTGGAGCGCTGGTGTCATCGGGAAGGCTTTGGCTTCCATGACCACAGTCTGCATTTTGGTGAGAGAGGCAGCAAGCTGCTGGGAAGAGATGGCCTCCACCTCTCTCTGCTGGGGAGGAGGCTCTTCGTAGGGATAACGGAGACCTGGTGGGACTCCACCCATGACAGGACCATGGGTATAGATGGCTATACCCTGTACAGGAAGGATTGAGTAGAGAAAAGGGGCAGGGCTGTAGCTCTCTATGTTAAGGAAAGCTACGCGTCCCTGCAAGCTGATGTTGGCAACCAGGGTGAACGACTGGAGACCCTCTGGGTTAAAATCTATGGGGAACACAGCACAGGGGACACAAT